TTTAATGTAAATGGCAGAATTGCAGTACAGCAAAAGAATGAACATTTCAAAAGGAACAAAAAATCCATCTGTGTTTATTTTTCTCAATTCCTCAATTCTGAATCCTTAGGCATCAATTCTTATGCCTCAGTCAGATTGTTTTGATAAAAGGAAAGCTTGGACAACTGCCTTTTGCAGTTCCAGGCAGTGAATTTTAAACATTGCTTATGGGTTTTGTTATGGATTGTTTAGTTTACAAAATCAGCAAAATGAATCCTGTAACTTTGGCAAGAGTCTGAAAACACTGTCTTCATACCTGATCTTGGCTATGAGATACGACATCCGTACCTGTTTTACTACTTTTGTGGTATGTTTCTTGTACTGCATGCAATTAATGCAATGCAATGCAAATTTACAGTACCTTCATCTGGACAGTTAGGTGGGTGGTTCCATAAAGAGCACACTTCCCATTTCAGTGGTTTATAATCAGAGACAGGGACTAAAATACGCATGTATGTGGAGCAGCAGTTCCAAAAGTCTGAAGAGAAATAAGTGCACTTGTGCAGATCAATTGCATTCTTAGGCACAGTATGCCCAACATATTCTATTCCCTAAATAATGAGAATGAGGTGTCTGAACACATTATCCATGTCCACAAATTAAGGAAATCCTGTTGACTCATTGATGATTCAACGCTAAAACTGTTGTCATGGTTTAACCCCAGCTGGCAAGTAAGACTCACACAGCCACTCACTCACTCCCACTCAGTGGGATGGGGGAGAGAACTGGAAGGGTAAAAGTGAGAAAACTCGTGGGTTGGGATAAAGACACTTTAATAGGCAAAGCAAAGCTGTGACTGCAAGCAAAGCACAACAAGGAATTCATTCACCACTTCCCATGGGCAGGCAGGTATTCAGCCATCCCCTGGAAAGCAGGGATCCATCACTTGGTTACTTGGGAAGATAAAAGCCATCACTCTGAATGTCCACCTCTTCCTTCTTTTCCCAGATTCATTGCTGAACATGATGCCATATGGTATGGGATACCCCTTTGGTCAGTTAGATCCAACTGTCCTAGCTCTGTCCCCTTCCAACTTGTGCACCCCCAGCCTACTTGTTGGTGGGGTGAGGCAAGAATCAGAAAAGGCTTTAACTCTGTTAGCACTGCTCAGCAGTAACAAAAACATCCCTGTGTTATCAATGCTGTTTTCAGCACTAGTCCAAAACATAGCCCCATACTACCTACTATGAAGTTAATTATCTCAGCAGAAGCCAGCACAATTCCCCAGGCCAGTCCAAAGCTGGTTAGGTAGAAAGCCTAGCTCCTGGAAAACTAAATGTTAGGCTCCTACCTCAGATGCTTGGAAATACTGCGGAATTCACTGTGTTAGGTGCATATTATTAATCAGTACAAAGTTATTGTAGTGCTAATGGAGTTGTGAATTACTATTTTCTGATTGATGGATACATCGCATAGGATTAGCTCTAATCAGGTACTTCAAATAATGAGAATCTCTCTACCTAGTATTGAACTAAGCCACACAAAACTGTGTTTCCACAAATCTTGGCAGAGTTTGGATAGGGAAGAATACAAATTAAATAAATCAACGTGAAAGAAATATTTGCTTTCATTGGTCCACTAAATAACGAAAAATAAGGATAGATCTAACTTCATAGGTAGTGCAAATTTACATATTTACAAACTCCAATTTAGCACAAAACTAAACAGAAAAATATGGGAGTTTAAAAGAATATGTTTTCCTTCCTCCCACAGAGGAGAAATTACATCCTCCAAATCATGCAGCTATTATATTTCATTAGACAAGCCAACAGTTTAGTTTTATATATTTGAGTCCATATTCCCTTTAAATGAAAAGTCATATATTTCTTAAAAGATAAATTTAATTGTCAGGAAGCTCAATTTTCATCATTATATTTATCATATTATCTCTTTGCAAATATGCCCATATATAGATTATATCAATCTATTTTAATGGGAGGGATTTATTTTCTCAAACAATGTAATTCCAAAACTGAGGATGGATAATAAATATATAAAACTGAACTCTTAATGTTCATGCAAACCTCATATACATATAGTGCATAGCAGCTAAAACTCCGTAAAAAGTAAGAACTTACTAAAAATATTTCCTTTAAAGCTATTGTCTGCATTTAATATTTAAGCCTCAGGGAAAAAATTAAAGCAACTACACTTTTACTGCATAACATTCTCCTAAGACACTGATAAGTGCTTCACTTCTGATAAGACAGCATACATCAGGAATTTACTTTATTAAGATACTAGCAGATGAAGGGACAAAGAAAATCATGCTCAGACAGATGAGAAAGATGCTGAATAAAAAATAAAAATATAACCCCAAACAAACCAATAAGATTTCAAAATAAGGTTTAGTGTTGCTCTATATAGTCTTCAGATATTATTGAAGAGACTGACTTTTCTCTAGTTGTATTCTTTACCTCCACATTTTTCTGTCAGTCTAAATCTAGTCTTTATGCATTTCTAAATCAGACGGATAAAGCACTCCCAAGCAGGCAATAGGGGGGAATCGTATCAAAGACAATAAAGCATGACAGATAAAGGCAGTGCTAGCTCATAATAGTAAAATACAGGAAAACAATACAATTTTCACCAGGTTGCATAGTCCATGGATTGTAGTGGAAGAGGATATTCAGATACTAGTATGGAATTAAAATACTGTAAGGGGCTTGAAAAGGCAGAGATAAAAGTCACATTTTTACTTGAATGTATACAATCATTACATATAGTTCGTTAGTACTGATGTGACATAAATAAAAATAGAGCAGTACAGAAAGCAACTATCTTGCAAAAAAAGAATTTCATATGATATCATATGACTTTTTTCATAATTAAAACACTGTAGAGAATGACACACACTTTGAGGCATGTATACAAAGACACCTTTAAGTGACTAATACGAATTAGTTTTACCAGTTTAATTTTAGTTAATGATGATTTGCATTTCTGAAGATAGTTTCTTTCAGAATCAATTAAAAGAAATGGGTCTACTCACAGATAGATATACTACTCTGAATAAGAAACATTAGTAAGTCTTCAAGCATTAGCTTTTTATTAAAAAATAAATTCTTCCCCTTAAATAAAATGCATACTTGTAAATATAAATGTAGCCAAAGAATCAAATGAATGGTTTATTCATAAAGAATAGGATTAAGTTAATCTTAGGGGTTTTGCTTCTTTGCTTGCTTGATTGCTTTGTTTTCCCCAGAATAATATGGTGGGTTTCAGGCAGTGGTTTTGGCATTTTACTCGCTTTATGGTGCTGTGTAGGTGTACCACTTGAACTAGTTTCACATGAGGTAGCTTGAGGATTAGGGGAAGGAATGATTTAGTAAATTATTCTTGCTAAAAGTGTACTTTTGAATGAGTCCCACAGTATAATTTCATTGAAATTAAATTGAAACAGGGGTCTGCCAATGCTATTTTTTAGGAAAAAAATATTAAATAATAAAAAGTAGTGATGTTTATATGTGTCATGGTTTAAGTCCAGCTGGTAACTCATAACCGAGCAGCAACTCGCTCACTCCCTGCCCTTCCTCCTCGCTCTGCTCCCGGAGGGATGGGGAGGAGAATCAAAAGAATGTAACTCCTATGGGTTGAGATAAGAGCAGTCCAATAACTAAGGTATAACACAAACCACTGCTGCTACCACCAATAATAGTAATGATAAGGGAAATAACAAGGGGAGAGAATATGATTGCTCACCACCCACCAATCAGTACCTAGCCTGACCCAACCAGTGATCTGGGCCTTCCCTTCTGACTTCTGGTCGGAGTACACATTACTCAGCAACAACTAAAAACATTGGTGCTATCAGCATTGTTCCTAGGGTGAAAGTCAAAACCACAGCACTGCGCCAGCTACTAAAAAGGAGAAAAATGACTGTTACTGCTGAACACAGGACAATATGGATTTTAGTGGTGAAGTCATCACAGAAAAGTAACAGAGCACTAAAATGCTCAGGTGACATCAGTCTGAATATACAGTTACAAGCTAAGTGGTAACTCCGTAAGAGACTTCAGAGGAATTTTGGTCATTACCTCCTTAGGCTGTAAGATTGAATTGACCCATGCTTTTGTTTCAGATCAAAAACTGTACTTTTGGGAATATTTGTTAATTGAATAAGCACACAGACAAATGCATATAAAGATTACGAGGCTAACCCAAGGGAGAAGAGACACTTGTGATTTCAGATTGCTTCAGAAAATTCAGGCTCCACATAAGGGAGTATGACAAACTTTATGAGGTAGCGTCTAGAACCGTGAAATACAAGATGGAACATCACCAAGCACAGAGATAAACACAGAGTAAGTTCTGCACAGACATGCAGTGTTTCATATGGAAGGCAGTGGATCTAACAGCAAGATATGAAATGCATTAAAAAGATATGAAAGGGAGGCAAAACAGAGCTCCATGGACATTTAAAACTGATCTGAGGATGGAAATGGCAAAGAGGATTAAAACTGCAGGCAGAAAAAAGAGCTAGCCTTTTTATGAGTTCACAGTATTCTCTGTACTCCTGCTTGCAATTATACTCCAGGGTGGCAATCGTTCATCAAGAACATCCAAAAAGAGTAATAACTATCGTAATGGAAGTTATTCCATTCATACTGTGTGATGAGCCTTTTTCATGATCCAGAATTAATTTATTCTACATCAAAAGTACTCAAATTATACCACACCAGTGTTTAAGCACAGTGAGACTCATAAACCTTTAGAATGACAATTCAACTGCAGTTAAATGAAAGTCAAAGGAAGCTTAAGCTCATTTTAAACATAAGATACACTAACATTTATTTCAAACACTGGGTTGAATATATTGCAAGGTAATCTTCAACAAACTAAAGTCTATGGAAAGGCCATATATTTCATCTTTCTTTATAATGAAAGGCTAATCTAACTTATCAGACTGCTTCCCCAAAACCACTCCTTATTTCTTCTTGCTGTTTCTCATTAACTCTTACCTTCCAGACTCAAATGTGAACCAAGTTGAGTCACGTCCGTATCTCCTCAAAGAGCTCAGAGGCCACATGACCAACTTGACCTTGGCATTGTGGATGTCCCAGAGATAGATGTTTTCATGTGTGATCTGCATTGTACATTCCCCATAGATATCTAAATTTGGTGTAGGCATAAGATATACATTGAATCGTTCTGCAAAAAACAAACACAGAATAAGAAATGGCCAGTTAAAGCAAGATTTTATATTAAGAAAAAAAAAATCAATATGTTTTTAGGTACTGCTGGTTTAGAAATCAAGGCTCAGTTTCTAGCTTTGAACAGAGGAGAGGATCCACTGATGTTGAAGAAGCCTTGCTAGTGTACATTGGTGGCATAAGACTGAAACATCTTTCGCAGATGATCTGCATATGTCCCTCTGACATACGTCCCCCTAATATATGTCCCCCTGACATATGTCCCTATCAACTTAAGTGAAGTCTTTTTTCCTCACATTAAGGTCCACAACTCTTTGCAAATCAAAATTCACAATTACTTGACCAATTCACAATTACAGACAATCCTCTCTCAAGGAATAGAACTATAGGTATCTTGACAAACCATTGCCCCTTAAAAAGCCTGTACTTAAAATAGCAAACCCAGGTTTACTTATCAAAGCTTGCTAATAATTATGTTCCTTGTGTTCAATTTCTATTTATTTGCCAAGTCATTATCATCTGTCAAATTAATAACATTTTAAATAATCTGTTGCTTTCTTGAAAAATCTGATTCAACATGATATATTATTATGGTCATGACATCAACTACTATCAGCTGCTCTTTCACTGCGAAGTGCACTCATTACAGTAAGAGGCAAAGGGCATTAACAATTTTCTGAAGTGCCTAAATTGCATTTGATCTAACAAGCAACGCAAAAAAGTATCCTTAAAAAAAAAAAAAAAGGAAAAAAAGAAAACAACACGGTGATATAAAACACCATTAACTCACATGGAAGGAATTACACCACAGCAATAGCAGCAGAATTTTAAATCAAAATGCAATTTTCTTTGAAGAATAACTAATGTTTGTATAGGTTGCTTCTATGAAGGATGAAAATGTCAGTTACAATTTCAAGTTGTAGAGTTGAAAGTGCTTGCCTATATTTTAACTCTAAAGGCACTGAAATCTTAGGGGCTTAATAGCATAATATGGGAGATTGCAGCTGATTCACAACTTTGTCTCACAATTTGCCTTTAGTTTTGAAGTAGGATAGAAATACAAAATGTTAATGCTACTGCACTGAAGGGTGTTGACAAAAAAGTTAACAACAATTTAAAGTATGAGCAAGTGCAATGCTCACTCAACAATCAGTTCTGGGAAAATGTACTTTAAAGGGATACCTGATCAGAAACTTGTCTCTAACTACTTGATAAACGAATTACAGCTTGGTGTGGTACATTTTTATGCCACCATTTGAACCGAATTTTCTCATAAAAATTAGGAAGGAATTTAAAGTAATCAGAAGGGGAATAAAGTGAGAGAAATTTATTGTTAACAGTCAAAATTAGATGCAGCTTCCCACTGTTTGACATTCAATATCACAAATATTATGGCTCTATTTTTAAAACATTTTATATGTATATATATATATGCACTTTTTTGAAAAGTCAGTGAAAATATTACAAATGAGTTAATATAAAATATGTTAGAAATGCAAATATGAGGGAGAGATAATATAGCAGCAAAAGTTTGGGTGAGGAATTAATGGAAGCAGGGAACTGCTCATAAGCAGCTAGAAGTAAACTTGCCATCCCCAGTGCTATTCTGTTTCAGGCAATTTAATTTTGTCCTATTAATGACTCCCCAATTTATTCATTCGTTCTCATAGCCATTCAACCTTTTCTCCCAGGCTCTAATTCTCATTAATCACACTAATGACTGTTTTCCCTAAAAGTTTAAATTTATGACTAAAGTCCAAAGTGTGAAACTCCTAATGTTTTGCAAAAGCCATCTGACAGAAAGCATAAATAGATTAGCTTATACTTCTGAGATCACTGCAAAGAATTTCCCCTAACCCTCAATGGAATGCATTGGGCACAACTCTAACAAAATGCCTACTAAAGTAAATGCAAGGACTCACACATGGGAGTATGAGTCAATGAGTACATTGGGAAGGGAATGGTGGAGAACATAGGTTATAATTTGCAATGATATGATAGATAGATAGATAGATAGATAGATAGATAGATAGATAGATAGATAGATGCCCTTTTTCAGTATCTGTGTGTCATGCAAAAATGCCTAGGAGCTATGCAGGTATGCTTTTATCATAAAAAAGAAGTTTATGCTCCAGTTTTGCATTGTCATGCTGTTACTCATCGTTACTCACCTCCTCTATTTGAAACAAAGATGCAGATGATTGACATATCAGTTAGTTCTCTTTTACATTACACGATATCACACAATATGTCTATGGGGGAACAGTGCTATATTATGAGAACAGAAATCTTTCTCTTTCCCTGTTTTCAGTGACAGAGTGCCTCAGACAGCAGAGAAAATGGAAAGGTACAATTTTTTTCTGAAGTAAACATTAAACTGTTGTTCTGAAGGTACAGCATATTTCAACTTGGTTTAGAAACTACCAGGATACTCATGAAATGCTCAACTTCTCTGAAGTGTTTGAGGATATTATTGCATGAAGGGTATTCAGGACATATGGTATCCTCAAACTGTCAGGAGACATTTGCTAACTTTGGAAGGTCAGTGTCTGAGGTGAAGTGTCACGGATTAAAGAAAGTATGTCTGATTAAACTGAACATCAGCTGCAGGGCAAAATGTAGTACAGTTGGAACTTACCCAAATTAGGAAGAAAAGCAAGTGTATAAGTGTGTGTGTTGGAGAAGATTGATGATATATATATTTGTTTTTGAAATAAAAGCTAATGCTTTTGTGTAGTAGGAAATTTAGGACATGGAAAGATGCAGATACTATTAAATGATTTTATGAATGGAAGGTCCAATTTTTGCATTTCAGAAAATATTTAAAAGCGGTATCTAGATAACTGTAATACAATCATTAAATTTTTAGTGGCAAGTTTTGCCCTTAAACTTATCCAGGGAAGAATAAACATTCATAGGCTAGATTTGGAAATCCCTGCTGAATTATTTCATCAGATCTTCTGAATCACATTGAACAGGATATTTTGCTTTTCTGTGGATCAGACACTATGTGCATATGAGTGTGATGAGATAATAACAGTTCACCTTACCAGCCCTAACTATCCTATGATTCTATGATTCACTGGGTAGTAAGATTATGTAAATAAATAGAATTTAATGAAGGACTGTCCTGGGTTCAGCAGTAGCAGTCATTTTTATCTTTCTTGGTAGCCGGTGCAGTGCTGTGTTTTGACTTTCGGGCTGGGAACAGAGCTGAAAACAATGATGTTTTGGTTTGGCCAAGGACTTTGTGAGCCTCATGCTCTGCCAGGGAGGAGGGAAGCTGGGAGGAAGCAGAGACAGGACACCTGACCCAAAATGACCAAAGAGGTATTCCATACCACAGCACGTCATGCCCAGGATGTAACTGGGAGTTACCCGGAAGGGCTAAGTGGACTGCAGGGTTGGAGGAGGTATCGTTTGGTGCTCGGTCAGGCTGGGGGGGTGAGTTATCGGTCACCTAGTGATGAGGTGTTGTATTCTCTTCCCTTGTTATTTCCTTTATCATTACTATTATTGGTGGTAGCAGTAGTGATTTGTGTTATACCTTAGTTACTAAACTGTTCTTATCTCAACCCGTGGGAGTTGCATTCTTTCTGATTCTCTTCTCTGTCCCTCCAGGAGTAGGGGGAGGAAAAGAAGGGGGGGGGGGGGGGTGAACAAGCTGTCTGGCTGGGGTTAAACCATGACAGGGACCCAGAAAATAGGGAGACTGAAGATACCAAACAAGGAGATGCTACCCTGTTGGACAAGACACGGCTCAGACTGAGCAGGTGCAGTTCCTCAGCATCCAGCATCACTATCCTCCTCCCTCTTCTAAAATCTCTGAGAGCAAAGTTCAGGGAGTGGGTGAGCCAGGATGAGAAAAAAAATGCTGACACATTGACACTTATTATTCCAGTCTTTTCAATGTAACTCCTCTTTCCCATCTCCTCGAATAAGCAAAGAAATACTTCATCATACACTTTCTGCATGTGAAGGTGTTTAGCATTTAGGCTTTGGCAGGAATATGACCTTTAATAACGTTTTCCAGAGCACAGGAGCACAACAGTCTTCATTAAAACAAGCATATTGACTGAAACAGAGACTTGGCAGCAAGTCTGAAAAAGCCCTCAGCCTTTCAGCTCCAAGTCCAGCTGTACCGGGGAAGAAAAAAATGACTGTGAGGCCCAATGATAATGGTTCTAGCATTTTATGACTGGATTCCTTTGCCCAAGTCATCCCACTTAGAAAACTGACCAGATGACACTGAAATCTTGCAGTCAAGATGCTTTGTTTCATTTGAGCTTTAATGGGAAGAAAAAACACTTATAGAGGGAGGCAGGCAGGTTGGTGGGGTCTGTATGAGAAGAGGGTTTAAAAGCAAACATTCAATCTCTATCTGGGAAAAAGAAAATCTCCCATCTTTGAGACTTCTGCTCCTGCCCATCTGTGGCTAACTTTCACATGGAAAGAGAGCTCTAAGTCTTAAAGTCAGGGCATTTTGTGTTCATTCATATGTCGGGTCTATGAGGATGATTCTGTCCTGCTTTACACAGTGAAGAACCAGGATTCCAGAATTAATTTTATTCCTTTGCTTGCAATTTTTCTGTTTTGCTTCCATTAAAAATAGAAACCTTTATTAACATCTCAATGAAAATATAAAGCATACTATAAATAAATTATTTTAAATTGTTTCACTGATAATTAGTAAAGTAGAGAAGAATATGAACTCTCACTGGATTAACCAGCCATTAAAACTGTAAACACCTTTCTTCTCTGAATAAAGCTTGCTATGTTTGGTTTATGAAAAAGACACTAAACCCAAAACCACAAAAAAAAAAAAAAAAGCAACACCAAACAACAAAAAACCCAGCCAAACCCCAAAATACAATAATGCATTAAGGATAGCAGAAGATGAATAAACAAGCAAAATGCATTTATGTAATAAATCACTAACAGAAATTCTACAGAGTCTAGAAAATACCCAAACCCAAGTCATCTTTGTGAAAGTAATTA